CAGGTAGCCCACTGTGAACTTTGGACTGGGCCACATTCCAAACATTCTGGGATAGGCCACTTTCGTTTGTAAAGTAAATACTTAAGCTTCTATAGAATTGTTTAACTTGGCATAAATCAATCAGATCAAGATGAAAAAGGTTTATAGAATATGTCAGTCACAGATTAGGTTATCCTTTGTTATGGGATTTTAAGATTATCATATGAAAAGGATTTAAAGGCAATCATTGATTAAATTTTCATGGATTAAGGTTTCTGGTGGGTGGGGGATGCCCCGCCCACATCTGACTTTGTGTATAAAAGACCCATTGTAATTCCCAATAACACACATCGCTTCTGCACTAGACGGGAGTCCAGTCTCTTTCTCTCTTCTTCCCCCCAATCGCCGGCGCCATCTCCACCTTTGGGGTACCCTGAACCCGGCTGGAGCTGGTCTCCGGCAACTTTGTGGGACTTCACAGAGCCTTGTTGCATCTTACTGTCATGCATAATGCCTATCCCTAGATTATAATAAATAGACCCAAAGGTAAGTGTGGCACTGATTGTTAAAAGAATGAACATTGACAGCAAGAGAAATGACAGCTGGTAGCCTAATGGCAAGGTCTGAGAGAGAACTAGAACTAACAAAACGGCATTTTTGCCTATTACAATTGGAGGTTTTTGTAATGTTGATTGTTACCCTCCAAAAAATACCAAATTCTACCCAGAAGGCTGAGATGGGAGGATCACTTGAGTCCAGGAGGTCGAGGCTGTGACTATGACTGTGCCTATGAACAGCCACTGCACTCCAACTGGGCAACAGGGTGAGACCCTCGTCTCTAAAAAAACCAAAATCAAATTCTGTCAACTCATTAGCATTAAACCAGAAAGATCACATATGCCAAATAAGAAATTTTAATTTTTATTTTGGCCTAATTATGAGAAACTGTTTTGGGGGTGATAATCTTAGTTGCTTATATGCCTGTGACTGAACACACTGGAATTCTCTTTGTATTTAACGTCTTAATATGGAACCTACATTTTTCCTGTTTTTTCCCACTCCTGTCAATAAAAGGAATTTTATTTGCTGGCATATGAAGCTCAATAGAATTCCACTTTCTTGAGGTCTGTGCCTCAAGACTGGAAGAAGTTGACAAGTGTGAAAATGAGATGTAGGAAATGGGAGTGCACACATTGGTGATGTTAGATGTGCACCATTGTGCTGGCATGTCAGAGACTGAACAACCTCGTTTTCTTGATGTATATGACAAAATGCCATTCTGTCGTCCACTGTTAATGTCTTTCAGGGTTTTACATATGTGGCTCCATCTGTACTTGAAAGTGTGAAAGAAAAGTTTTCTTTTGAACCAAAAATCCGATCACCTCGAAGATTTATTGGCAGCCCACGAACACCTGTCAGGTATTTCAGACTCTGTTATTCTTAAGAAATTTATGCCAAGTTACATAAATGAAAGATCTGTTAATTTTTTTTGGTTAACATAAGCATAGCATGTACACCTTCTTATTTTTACAAAGGACTAGTCTCACTAGTTTATGATATTTGTATGGTTTACCTTCTCTCCTGAAAGTAAGCTGCTGCACTGGCAAATGTTCTCTTTACCCATCCACTCAACATTTATTGTGCACCAGGGACTTTGTTACATGGTGCATGATATATACATATAATACATATACATAAGATAATATAAATATGTATAATACAGGAATTGTCCTTGTCCTCATGAAGCTTATGGTGAGAGAGTTACAATAAACAAAGAAGGAAACATACAACATAGGTAATTATAAGTAGTGCCAAATGCCATATATATATAAAATAAAGAGTGTGGTGGTAGACAGAAAACAAGGGGGCTTGTACTCACAGTGGTCTGAGAAAGTCCTCCCTGGCATAGTAGTGTCTGGCACAGAAGAGAAAGAGCCAGCACTACAAAAATAGGAGGTACAGAAATGTTGTAGGCAGAACAGCAAGTGCAAGAGGCACGAGAGAGCAAAAAACTTGCTCTTTTCTTAGAAATGAAGGGGCGATCAATGATCCTGGACTGTGTAGTGGGTGAGGAGAATGGCAGAGGTTTGGAAAAGCAGTTTATCTTAAATGCCATGGAAAGCTGTATGGAACAGAGGAGAGTAAAATTTTTTTAAATTTTTATTATTATTATTTTAAATTGGAGTCTCCATCACCCAGGCTGGAGTGCAGTGACACACTCACTGCTACCCCAGCACCAACCTGCTGGGCTCCAGCTATCCTTCTACCTCAGCCTTCCAAGTAGCCGGAACTACAGGCACATGCTACCACACCTGGCTCATTTTTTATTTTATAGTAGAGATGAGGTTTCACGAAGTTGCCCGGGCTGGTCTTGAACCCTCAGGCTTAGACAATCCACGCGTCTCGGCCTCCCTGAGCCACTGAGCTCGGCCCCCTTTTTTTTTTAAATTAAAAAAAATTTTTTTTTAAATTATAGAGATGTGGGTTACAAGGGAAGATTAACTATGTTAAGTAGGTTGCATGCAGGTGAAGTTTGAGCTTCTAACTGGCCCTCACTCACCCTGGTCGTGGACTAGGTACCCTTTGTATGTGAGTTTTTGTTGTTGTTTGAGTCAGACTCTCACTCCACTGCCCAGGCTAGAGTGCAGTGGCACGCTTATGGCCACCGCAGTGTCAACCTGCTGGGCTCAGGTGATCCTTCCACCTCAGCCTTCCGAAACTACAGGCACGTTGTGAATTTTAAAAAAAAATGTAATTGAGAGCTTTAGTCTAGGGGAGAGATGGCTAAACTTTTGCCTTGATTGTAATCCACAGGAAAATAAAATTAAATGAAAATAAATGTCATATTCACTTCCTTTCAACATAAGGGAAAGGCTGGGCATGGTGGCTCACACCTGTGATCCCACTGCTTTGGGAGGATTGCTTGAGGCCAGGAGTTCAAGTTCAGCCTGGTCAGCATAGCAAGATCCTATCTCTGCAAAAAATAAAACAGATAGATTAAATAAATAAATAAATGTAAAGGAAATATTTCTGATTGAGATGATCCTTGAGACAAATGAGTGATAGCTCTTCCTTGTCTTAAAGCCCGGTCAAATTTTCTCCTGGGGATTTCTGGGGAAGAGGTGCTTCAGCCAGCACAGCAAATCCTCAGACACCTGTGGAATACCCAATGGAAACAAGTGGAATTGAACAGATGGATGTGACGATGAGTGGGGAAGCATCAGCACCACTTCCAATACGACAGCCTAACTCCGGGCCATACAAAAAACAAGCTTTTCCCATGATCTCCAAACGGCCAGAGCACCTGCGTATGAATCTATGACAGAGCAATGCTTTTAATGAATTTAAGGCAAAAAAAGGTGGGGAGGGGATGTGTGAGCATCCTGCAAGGTGAAACAAGAAGACTCAAAATGACAGTCTCAAAGAGTCGGTGTCATTACACAGAACACTTTGGACGAGGAAAAATAAATAACGGATTTTTAAAAATCAATCAATGGTGCAAAAAAAAAAACTTAAGCAAAATAGTATTGCAGAACTCTTAGGCACGTCGATTAATTGATTCCTGGCGACATCTTCTCAATCTTATCAAGGATTTTCATGTTGATGGCTCAAAACTGACAGTATTAAGGGTAGGATGTTGCTTCTGAATCACTGTTGAGTTCTGATTGTGTTGAAGAAAGGGTTATCCTTTCATTAGGCAAAGTATGAAATTGTCTATAATACTTGCAACTAAGGACAAATTAGCATGCAAGCTTGGTCAAACTTTTTCCAGCAACATGGAATCAAAGACAAAAGAAACTTATCAATTGATGTTTTACGTGCAAACAACCTGAATCTTTTTTTTATATAAATATATATTTTTCAAATAGATTTTTGATTCAGCTCATTATGGAAAAAACATCCCAAACTTTAAAATGCGAAATTACTGGTTGGTGTGAAGAAAGCCAGACAACTTCTGTTTCTTCTCTTGGTGAAATAATAAAATGCAAATGAATCATTGTTAACCACAGCTGTGGCTTGTTTGAGGGATTGGGGTGGACATGGGGTTTGTTTTCAGTAACCCAGCTGCAATACCTGTCTGTAATATTTAAAAAAAAAAAAAAAGAATGTTTAATCATTTCTACTTGCAGTACTGCTATGTGCTAAGCTTAACTGGAAGCCTTGGAATGGGCATAAGTTGTATGTCCTACATTTCATCCTTGTCCTGGGACTGCATTGCACTGGAAAAAAATCACCACCTGTTCTTACACCAGATTTGGTTCAAGATGCCAAATGTGTTCAGCCCATGGTTGAAAAACAACAGAAGAGAGTCAGGATAAAATGCATACTGAGGGTGGCAAACTGAGGGAGATAGGGATATCCAGGGAAAGAGGGCGTTGCTATGGTCCACTCTCTGTCTAATCTCTTTACTGAAAATTGGTAAGATTTTAAGTTTTACTTTTTACTGTTTTTGCTGTCTACCTTCCTTACATTTTTTTTCCTCAACAGTTTTAAAAAGAAAAAAGGTCTACTTTTTTTCTCCTACACTGGGGCTACATTTTTTGATTGTAAAAATACTTGATGGCCTTTTGATGAATGTCTTCCACCATGAGTAAGAAAACTTAGTGACTTAACATAGGAAACATGTTAACAGGATACTATGTTTTTGAAATTGTAATAAAATCTACATAAATGATTTACAGGTACAAAGAGTAAAAATAAAGGTAACTTTACCTTTCTTAAATACTTCCTGCCTTAAAGAGAGCATTTCCATGACTTTAGCTGGTGAAAGGGTTTAATATCTGCAGAGCATTATAAAGATATATTTCAGTATATACTGGTGTAATAGATGATCATGCAGTTGCAGTTGAGTTTTATCACCTCTTTTTGTTTGTCTTTTATAATGTCTGCAGTCTGAGTGTGCAGAGTCAATTTGTAATATTTTGCAACCCTAGGATTTATTTAAATAGATGCTGCTTGCTATGTTTTTCAAACCGTTTTGAGCCATAGGATCCAAGCCATAAAATTCTTTATGCATGTTGAATTCAGTCAGAAAAGAGCAAGATTTTGCTTGTTTTTAAATTGCAATTCAAGTGAGAGGGGATGAAATCCTATGACAAGCAAAAACAGAACCATGAAAGATGATTGGAAACATACCTTTTCTATCGTGGCAATAACTGAAGAAATTGATAAAAGTTCATCTTTGGAAAGAAACTTTTTTTTTTTTTTTTTTTTTTTTTTTTGAGTTGGAGTCTTACTTTGTTGCCCAGACTGGAGTGCAGTGGCACACTCCTGGCCACCGCAGCCTTGACCTACTGGGCTCAGGCAATGCTGCTGCCTCAGCCTTTCAAGTAGCTGGAACTACAGGTGCGTGCTACCACACCCGGTTAATTTTTAGATTTTTGTAGAGACAAGGTCTCACCGTGTTGCCCAGGCTGGTCTTGAACCTATGAGCTCAGGCAATTCTCTCACCTCGGCCTCCCAAAGTGCTGGGATTATAGGCATGAGCCACTGCACCTGGCCGAAACTTTTTTTTTTTAAATTCACTCCCTCTAGATCCCCTCTTCCCTTCTTGCAACACCCTACTGAGACTTTATAACTGTAGCTGGTAAATTAGAAGCTACAATAATGATTAAGGGCAGAAACTGTACTTAAAGTGCAGATCTTTGTTCTCTGATAATTTGTAATAAAAAAAAAACACAACCCAGAAAACTATGGTGACATGTACAGACATTATTTCAGACTGTAAATGGCTTGTACTACTCTGATACTTGTTTTCAAATGTGTAGTGTTGACTGCCTGACCAAATTCCAGTGGAACTTTTACACCAAAATATTTCTCCTCAGCACTATTCGCTAGTAACATTTGCACTGTGATTGGCTGGCTGTAACCACCCCATAGTTAAACCATTTTCATAATTAGTACTGCCAGCAATAGTAGCAAACACTGCAACATTTCTGCATAAAAAGCACTAATTGCACACCTACCATGTACACAAATACATAGTTTTTCTGACTTCACACTTACTGAGATTTATTTCCCATGCTGTGGAAAGTTTACTGAGAACTTGTGTTTCATAAATGGATATCCCTACTATGACTGTGAAACATGTCAAGTGTCACATTAGTGTCACAGACAGAAAGCACACACCTATGCAATATGGCTTACCCTATATTTATTTGTAAAAATCCAAGTATAGTTTAAAAAATGTCAATATTATTAGTCTTCAGTTTCTAAGAAGGTTCTTTATGATTATACCAGGTAAGTGTATAAAAGAGATTAAGTGCTTTTTTTTCATCACTTGATTATTTTCTTTAAAATCAGTGATTACAGGATATTTTTTTATTTTATACATACTGTTTTTTAATTAAAATATAATCACTGAAGTTTACTAATTTGATTTTATAAGGTTTGTAGCATTACCGAATAACTAAACTGGGATTTATAAACCAGCTGTGATTAACAATGTAAAGTATTATTGAACTTCAACCAGATTTTTAGGAAAATTATGTTATTTCTTTGTGCCCTTTATAGTCTTAACTAATTGAATCCTTCAAGAAGGGTTTTTCCATGCTATATTTTGAGATAGAAAATAATTTGGGGGGAGGGGAGGATGCATGTATGACACTCCATAAATTCAACATTCTTTACTATAGGTAATAAATTATTATAAATAAGATGCATCTTAGATAGTATTAATATACTGAGCCTTGGATTTTATATTTAATATAGGACCTAACTATTTTGAATATTCAGTTAACCATATGGTTCCTAGCTTACCAAGGGCTAGATCTAAGATTATTCTCATGAGAAATGTTGAATTTATGAAGAATGGATTTTGAGGCTTTGAAAATGGTTAATTTCTCCAAAACATCAATGTCCAAACATCTACTTTTTTTAAAAATAGGAGTAGACACTAGCAAGCTGAACAAAACTATCATAAAAGTATTTGTCACACATAACTTGTGATCTTTTGCTGATTAATACAAACTTTCTTGTGTGATTCTCAACATTACAGCACAAGTATTATCTCAGTGGATTATATGGAGTAACATCTGAGTAACATCTGAAAGATGGGTTCATCTATGTTTGTGTTTGCTCTTTAAACTATTGTTTCTCCTATTCCGAGTTGGCTTTGCATCTATCAGAGTAAATAAATTTTTCAGCTGCCTTATTAGGAGTGCTATGAGGGTAACACCTTTTCTGCTTTTCATCTTGTATTTAGTTTACTGTATTATTTGATTTCAGATTGAATGAATGTAAATAGAAATTAAATGCAAATTTGGATGAACATGAAATAGAAGTGATTTTTTTTATTATCCAAAGACAGGGATAATTTAGTATACATCAGGTGTATAAATGGTTTAAATAATTTTTTTCATTACATGCCAGATGTGTTCAAGTTTTCGTATTTAATAAAATAACATGTGTGTAAGGAATGACAGTTGTAAAACTGTTTCTGCCAAGAAATTGAAACTATTTATATAAGTTTTAGTATTTGTATATTAGATGTTACACATCTTTGGTTTTCAAATTATGTCAAATAGTAGACTTGAGTTGTTTTTTTTTTTTAAGTACCATGTGACAAGTTATGTGAAAGCTAGCTTCCAGTAGAACACTAGGTAGCTGGGTGTGGCAGTTCATACCTCTAATCCCAGCATTTTGGGAGGCTGAGGCAGGAGGATTGCTTGAACCCGTAAATTCAAGACCAGCCTGGGCAACATAGCAAGACCCCTGCTATCTCTAATAAAAGAAGAAAAAAAAAAGACACTAGGAATACAGGAGTCCTCAAACTAACTTTACCATTTTATAAAACATAGCAGCATTTCACTGTTGGTAAAACATTCCTTTGGAGGTCTTGACTGAATAAATGGTATTTTGATGTTCCCTTTTTTTGAGGTGAAGGAATAGGAGAAATGCTTACAGTTAATCATCATTGTCAGTGGATGGCATAGCTCTATTATATTTCCCACCTTTTCATTTCACATATAAACTGCATCCCAAAAAAACCCACTACTGTCAACTATGAACTGCCTTGGTTATTTAATCATATTAAGAAACCAAGCTGTCTGAATAGCCACAGGGCAGGTAGGTGTGGTAAATAGATATTGTAATAGGGCTAAAGTAAAATGGTATTCTGAATGGGAAGTCATCTTTCACAGCAAAATTAATCACAGATGGTTTTTCTCACCCATCCTCTGCTGTATACCTAAATAATATAACTATAGCATCACCACAGCCATTTAAATATTTGCAGTGGTTCTCAAAATATGAATTATATATTGTATCTGAATGAATAGAAATAGTTGTACTTATAACCTGGCAGTATACACCTGGAGAAAAAAGTTACAGGCATCCTAATGTTTTTTGTCAGTTTGGATGGCCTTACAGTTATGAAAGTGACTTCACCCGTAGTCAGTTGGTCAGTCGTCTTAATTCATATGCTGGTCTAGCTTTTGTCTTACCAGTACTGCAAATTTGTCTTTCCTTCCTAACTTTTTTCCACCATCTTTTCTTGAATACAAACTGACAGATGCTAATAGAGGAATGGGCAGAAGGCTGTACTTAGACATAACCAGTAGTAGCCCTTTAGACTTCTGTTAGAGATTTCACATCCTCCTGAGAGGTAACAAGGGGAGACAGGAAGTGCCTCATTCCCTTTTCCACCACCCTGCACAAATACCTAGAGGCAAACAAACCACATTATCCAAAGCTCACGGCTGTCTCTGAATACAAGTTTAAATCTTCCAATTACTAGTGATTTAAAGCATAAGAATCTAGAACTTTTCTGGAGAAGATTAGTTGTAAGGGAAATTGTCTAAAAGTTTAGGGCATTTGTCTTTTTTTTTTATACTATTCAAAATCAGTAAGGAAGCCACTGTTTATAATCCATGTGAGTTATTTAATAGTTACTTCAAGATACTCCATGGCACTACACACAAAAAGCAAGATTATGAATATCAAAACGAATGGCAAAATACATATATAAGATCCACAAACAAAATTAATTTCAATCATTTATTCTTATTACTAGTCATACTACAGAGAATACAATATTAAAATATATCATCCTCAGTAAATTAATCTTAGAAAATCTGATTGTTACAGGCAGAATATAATATTTAAAACTTCAAAAATACAAATTTCATGAAAATTTTTAAGAATTTTTAGAATGGGAATTATAAAAGTCAATACTGAAGAAAATTCTTTCAGATATCTTAAAACATTATGAAAAATATTCTTTATTCTGAATAACTGTCAGAAAGGAATACCTGAGTTTTTCTAAAACCACTAGTTCTAATTTCAAATAGCTGTTTTGGTAACAACAAGAAAAAACATAATTTAACAATGCAATTACCTGTCAAATAATTGGGATAAAATAAATGTTGCGTATAAATTAGATTGGACATTATATTTTAAAACACGGGGTGCTTTAATCTTTTGATGAATTAGACTGCACACTTAAGTCTAAAACCGTTGTAGCCCTGAAAATCCATTCTAATGCTTTTATTAATAGTTAACTACAAACAAATGAAATTAGTGTTTTGTGGCATTAACAGTTTCTACAACTTAATATATTTGAAGGTGTGATGAAGTAGCTCCATCTTTCCATTTGTTTATATGGTCTGAAATCACAGTTCTACACAGCGGGCATGTTTTCTCTCTGTTAAACAATAAGGTAATGCACTCTTCACAAAATATATGCTGTAAGGGAATTAAGAACTAGATTTTATACTTGATAAACATTTAAATATTTTTAAGTTCATTACACTGTAGAGAATAAAAGGGATTTTAGAGCTGAAAGGGATTTTGGAGAGCACTAATCCCCTCATATTACAAATGGAGAAAGTAGGACACACTCAAGAAGACAAAGCAGTGTTGGTGGTAGAACCACTAGTGTCCTTCTGACTTAGCCATTTAACTATTTTTAACAGTACAAGCTATCCCTGGGTGATACCTTTAAGATTACGTATGATAACAGCTTAATAAAGACTTTGAGTTACTAGTACTTGGCAAAGTATAGGAAAGGGCCTTATTCAATCCAACAGCAAATGCTGGTACTGTTCTAAAGACTAGTATCCAATTATAAAAATATAAAAGTATCCATTCTGTCAGTTGAATTATTTTTTTCCCCTTCATATACTCTGAATAAAAAACATTAGAACATAAGGGACAAGATTCAGCCAATCTACCAAACCCCTAATGAATAAATTACTAGTACATGCCCTGAATGCTATTACCTTTCACTAAACATTGTATTTTTTTTGCCTTTTAATAAATATGTGACTCCTGCAAGTCACAAAGTAGTATTTAGATTGCTTAAAAATATAATTACCTGACAGATGAGAAGAATTGGCTTCTGAAATTCAGCTTGACATATTGAGCAAATATCATCCACATCTGCACACTGTCTCTTGCTGGCAGCCACTCCGTAACTCTATGAAGTTAATACATTCCATTCATCTACAAATTTATTTCTTGTTTCTCAAATATATGGGTGACCTGTACTTCTTAAATCTCCTTGGAACCAAGCATTTGAAAAATTTCCAAAAGGATACAAACATTTCTAAGCTGAACCACAGATGTAGAACCACATCTTGACCACCAAGGTGAAATCATTAAATAATTAGGACCCTGGAAGATTATTAGGTCCACTGGATTTCCAAATTATGACAGTGCTTCAAATTGAGTACATATAGCTTAAGGGACTAAGCAGTCTGAAATGCAACTATTATGAGCCCACTTATTACCTATGATAAAGTCAGTCCAGAACTTGGCTGGCTGAATATAACTCAAATAGAAAGCTTGCTTTAAAAACAGATTTCTGGGCCGGGTGCAGTGGCTCATGCCTGTAATCCCAGTACTTTGGGAGGCAGAGGCAAGAGGACTGCCTGGGCCGATGAGTTCGAGACCAGCCTGGGCAACATGGCGAGACATCATCTCTATAATAAATCAAAAAATTAACAGGGCGTGGTGATGCACGCCTATAGTTCACTACTTGGAAAGGTGAAAGGATCGTGTGAGGTGAAAGGATCATGTGAGGCCAGCAAGTCGAGGCTGCGGTGGCCACTGCACTCTAGAGCCTGGGCAAAAAAGTGAGACTCCAACTCAAAAAAAGTTTCTGTGATACACACTGGAGATTGATTCAGTAAGACCAGACATACTGGAATGTGACCCAGGAATCTGTATTTGAAAGGTCTCCAAGCAAGTGCAATATGAAGATGATTTGAGACTACTGAACCTATATCTAAAAATTTAAGTATTATCCCTAGTTGTCATAAAAAGAGCATTTAGTACTAAGAAATAATAAGCACAATTTTACAAAAGAAACTGCAACTGTCCAGTGTCACTTGGATAGAATACTGACAAAACGGACTGACTGAACAATAATGCAATTTAAAAAATTTCATTTCTTTAGTCCTAATCAGAAGTTTATGGCAAGGCACGGTGGTTAATGCCTGTAATCCCAGCACTTTGGAAGGCCAAGGCAAGAGGATCACTCAAGGCTGAGTTCAAGACCAGCCCAGACAACATAACAAGACCCCGTCTCTATTTTTAAAAACCAAAAAGTTTCTGATCTTTTTAAGTTCGTAACTTTCTCACCAGATTCAGCAGAACTTAGTCGTTAACTAGATATGACATTTAAGAACCCTCAATGAGCCAGGCTCGGTGCCTCAGCCTGTAATCCGCGCCTTTGGGAGGCTGAGGTGAGTGGATTGCCTGAGCCCACGGGTTTGAGACCCGCCTGGGCAGAGACCTCATCTCTACAATAAATCAGAAAAAATCAGCCAGACATGGTAGCGCATGCCTGTAATTCCGGCTACTTGGAAGGCTGAGGCGGAAGGATCGTCAGAGCCCAGTAGGTTGAGGCTGCGGTGGCCAGGAGCGGCCACTGCACTCCCGTCTGGGTGACACAGTGAGACTCCAACTCAAAAAAAAAAAACAAGCCGGGCTCGGTGGCTCAGCCTGTAATCCCGCGCCTTTGGGAGGCTGAGGTGAGTGGATTGCCTGATCCCACGAGTTCGAGACCCGCCTGGGCAGCGAGACCTAATCTCTACAATAAATCAAAAAATCAGCCAGGCGTGGTAGTGTGTGCCTGTAATTCCGGCTACTCAGAAGGCTGAGGCGGAAGGATCGCCGGAGCCCAGCAGGTCGAGGCTGCGGTGGCCGGGAGCGGCCACTTCACTCCAGTCTGGGCGACAGAGTGAGACTCCAACTTAAATAAATAAATAAATAAATAAATAAATAAATAAATAAATAAATAAAAAGGACCCTCAATGAAATTTGCAAAAATCAAAATGTTACAAATGAGATTAGCTTTCTTTAGAAATGGGGGGAAAATGTTGACTTGTGTCAATATATCTGAAGATTTTTACATTTTTTTTTATTAAGAGACAAGGTCTTGCCCTGTTGCCCAGGCTGGAGGGTAGTGGTATGATCATAACTCACTGTAACCTTGAACTCCTGAGCTCAGGCAGTCCTCTACTTCAGCCTCCCAAGTAGCTAGAACTACTGGAGTAAGCCACCACACCCAGCCTCAATGTATCTGAAGTTATGATCTAAACTTCTTATATTAAATGTGTAGGGCTAACAAAATTAAAGTAAAACTTAGACTATTGAAAACTAAGATTTTTTCTGCAACTAGTGATATTAAAGATTCCAGAAATAAGTCAAAATACTGTTAGATGATTTTTTTTTTTTGAGTTGGAGTCTCACTCTGTCACCCAGACTGGAATGCAGTGGCTGCTGCCGGCCACTGCAGCCTCAACCTGCTGGGCTCCAGCAATCCTTCCACCTCAGCCTTCCAAGTAGCTGGAACTACAGGCACACACTACCACGCCCAGCTAATTTTTGATTTACTGTAGAGATGAGGTCTCGCCAAGTTGCCCAGGTGGGTCTTGAACCCACAGGCTCAGGAAATCCACTCACCTCAGCCTCCCAAAGCGCTGGGATTACAGGCTAAGCCACCAAGCTCGGCTTGTTAGATGAGCTTAATGCCAATTTCCCTTCACTTAAGTGTCATTTAGCAGAGTACATTGTAGACATTTATACTGACAAGCTTTTAAAACACCACTCTTGTCTAGTATTTTGGAGACCCCCACCAAGGAAAGACTTATCTGATAGTAATTGCCTTTTCCCTAGTAAAGTTAAAAAAAAAATGTATGTGCATGTTCAGGACATCTCAGGGAGACAGGAATAAATCAAAGTGTCAATAACTGATATCTTCTCTGTTTCGTTTGTCTCAGAGAAACAACATCGGTATTTTCTTGAGGCTATTTCATCACAAATCTTGCTAGGTAAATTATAGTAAAATGGCTGAAAATCATCAACTGAATTAATCTGGACAAAGCCAAACTCTGAATTTTACTCTCTTGTCTAAAGAAAGAGGTCTCCATAGGCTGTATACCAAAACTTGTTTCTACACTGTTAACTCTATCTTAAGGAAAAGGTGTGTAGGCCAGTTAGTCTGGTCCACTTTGTAGACACAATCCTTTTTTACTTTTTACAGTATATTATTAGGTTGCATTCTTGTAAGTCAGTCTCCCTGATCCCTGACCAAATAATTTTAAGAACATAACGAACTGCAACACTGGGGACCAAGCTCTGAGATCTAGTGACCTAGGTACAGGGGACATTTGAGGTTACTAAATAGTAATCTATGATACCCTTTTGCCATAATTTGTAACATCAACAGAATCGCACAATTGAGTTTCTAAATGATACTGAAGTCTCAATTGCTAAATTAGCAATTTAATTAATATTAACTGATACATTAATAATAATTAATAATACTGCAGACTTATTGGTACACATAGAATTGTGCAATAAGGAAATTTCTTCCAGTAAGAAAACTGCAAAGGACATGATTTTTGGTAATATGCTTTCTTCATATACACAGTAAGTTATAGTGGAAGCATTTTCATAGAAGCTGAATAAGGAGTTAATAGAAATACACAAACTACCATTTGTGGATTAAAAAAGAGGAACAAAAGTTTCTGACAAAATTTTTAAGTAGTGTTTATAAACTCTTAAAATGTCAAGTGATTTGAAGGAGCAAGAGACACAAATACATTAGCACTATAACAATTAGCAGGTGGTTGTCAATGTGCAACTCAAGAAACAGGTAAGTAAAGATAAGACTTACTGGTCGTGTAAAAAATATCTGTAAAACCTGTCTGAAAGTTTTCAGATGCCCAAAAAAGTCCAAAAACTGAGGAAAAAAGAGATAATTTATTAATTCAAAGGGTCCCATCTGCTAAGTCAAAAATCAAAGCTGAAATCTCACAATAGCAAATTCTCATATTAATTTAATGCACATTATATATCACAACTAATCACTGTATTCTAAATATATTTAAAGTCTAACTGCTGAATATTTTACTCAATCTATAGAATTGAGCACATAGCTAAAGTACATTTAAACACTTGGAGTAATGATTTAATCAAGACAAACATAAAATTCACTATGTTAAAGACAGCAATTTCATCTGGTCATTCTTCACATTTAGATTTTAAAGTTTCATAAAATGATTAAGCTGTGGAGAGCAGGCACAGAGGAACAAGATATTCCACTAGTTTAACGATTACATCTGTAACAAACGTCACTATTAAGGACTGTTCTACTTGCTTCCCCCCTAGATAAGCTATGCTATGTGGAAGTCCGCTCCCCTCACCCCAATAAACACTGAGAACCTCCGGATTAAGATAAAGCAATGTATTTCCATTTCTTTAAAACAGTTAAAGAGAATAGTAGTATGTAAAATGATGTAATCATTATTTTATGGGTCATTATGCAACGACAAGATTTATGTTACCTACTTTTAGTATGAGGTAGAATAAAGCCAGCAATATCCCAAGACTCCATCTAGTTACATTATCAAACTCCCCGTAGCTTATAAGGTAACGAAACCAAACTGGTATGGGAACAAAAGTTCGGTAATACTGACATAATTCTTCTAAAAGCATATACCAGTAACCCTAAAAATGAAAGAAAAAGAAAATAAATAAAGCCACTCAAACTATAAATAGACAGCACAAATACTTAATATTGGACTGAGAAAATCCTGAGTATATAATAATACAAATAACTGTAATTAATCTTTATGATTATAACTGACAACCTCAACCTGGTTCTCACTTTTTTAAAGTCAGAGTCTGTCACCCAGGCTGGAATGCAGTGGCTAACTTTTTAATTTTTTGTAGCGATGAGGTCTCACCATGTTGCCTAGGATGGTCTGGAACTCCTGGGCTCAAGACTTCTCCCCCCTCCCAAAGTGCTGGGATTATAAGTATGAGCTACCACACCCAGGCTGAAATTTTTTTTTATTATTCTAAAGCAAAATTCTGATTTTATCCAAATAGCTTAATATTTAGGTTCAAGTCCTTGAGCACATGGTTACCAGGCTGAGATAATACAGATAATTAAAATTAGGTTATTCAGCAAACGAAAAATTACAAAAGGAGGAGTCACTGAAACTAAGACTCACATTAGTGTGATTTGTTAACATCATTCCAATAAAGCCTAAGTTAGTTTCTTACCTTGGACTTAAAAGGCATGATGAAAGAAGGCACCAATAAGATAAGGCATTTTAAACCCATGAAGAGGAATTTCAGAATGAAGTCTGTAATTCCAACAGTCCAAAGTACTTCCCAGAAGCTCAAATGGTCCAAAGTAGGATTTAAAAAAATTAAGCTACCAAGAGAAAAACATCAACATTTACCAGAGTAACATAAAGTATTAATAAGGGGTTTTAATTTGCTACTAATATTTTACTTATCTGATATGTGAAAAATATGAGTTTGGCAAGATAAAATTCACATAAATGGAATGCAAAATCATTTTGCTTATTTTAAAGAGACTTTAAAAATGTTTGAATTTCAAACCTTGCCTTCATAGCCTGTCATGGTTGACACCATTCTAGCCTGGAAACTAAAAAACCCATTAAAACCAGACATTTTTGCCTCATCGACTCCAATCAGGATTCCACATTGCTTTTGTCAAGATCACCAACTGCCTCTGTATTGCTACATTTCTATGTCACTTCTCGTTTTCTATCTTTCTTCCCTGAATTATTCTTTCTAGACTTCTAACACCACATTCTTCTAGTTCTCATGTCACTAACATGTAAAGTTTATTCTTAGCCTTCTTTGCTACTCCTCCCAAATCACTGTGATTATGCCCAGTACTGAGCCCTTTTCTGTATCTACACTTTCTTTCCCGGGTTAGTTTTGTTCACGCCTGTGGTTTTTAAGTATCAATCATATGCTGATATAAAAATTTATAGCTTTAACCTCTACCTTGAAACCATGAACTATTTCTAGAACTACTTTCTTATCAATTCTACTTAGCCACTCAAACATGCTCAAAACGAAATTATTGATATTCCTCTCAAAATCTGTTTCTTCACTATTTTTTCCCAGGCAATAAAATGGCACCACTATCCAGTTAGTTGCTTAGACTAAAAACTCAGATGTCATTCTTGTTTCTTCCCAGCCACCTACCCAATCCAATCCATCTGAGTAGTACTAGCTCCACCCCGACCTCCAAACTATATCCCAGATTTGTCCAGGATTCTAATTATCTGATAAAAGCTAAAATTCAGAACACTCCCATCTGAAACTTATCAACCACTGTCCTTTAGTGTGTGTTCTCCTTACTTTTAGAAACAAAAGACCAACAATAACAGCAGAAAGACACTTACTGATTATATAAACAAAAACTTAGGTATCAAAAAATTTAATACTGATTGAGAAGCTGCTATATGCCAAAGCACTGGAGATACAAATCTGAGCCAGTCATTTAAAGCTTTCAATCATGAAAGGAGACAGGTAAAAATGGGCCTACAATAAAAATAAGTATAATGTGCAGAGATATGCAAAATGATATGGAATATGATTATGTAAAAATTTAATTGTGTATTTTGACCTCTAATTACCTGTAATAAAGTGACTGAGAATGAAAGGTATAATATATAAGAACAGAAGATCCTGCTAAGAATACCAGTAACCAAGCACACTGAATCTTTGAGGATCTTTCCTGAAAAAGAAACAATCTTATGTTACTTTGATTTTGCCAGAATTTTAAATATCATCAAACTGTTTTACTTTAATGACTAGCTCATTAACTTACAACATTTTTCTAGACTAATCTTAATGGAGTACAGAGTATCTGTTAAATTGTACATCATTTTCAGTCACTTAGTTTTATGTATCTTTAGTGAACAAAACAGAACTCTTAAATAAATTTTAAAAATACAAGTTTCTTCACTGTATAAAAAACATTACCTATGTTTCAAAGAAGCCAAATCTTCTACAAACTGACAGGAAGGACCCACCCTTAGCAAATTTACCTCTGGAACTCCTTTTTGTGTCTTTCCCACAAAACTTTTTTTTTGATCAACAAAGACTGCATTTAAGTTAATCAAGGTGTATACTTTTTTTTTTTTTTTGAATTGGAGTCTCACTCAGTCACCTAGACTGGAGTGCAGTGGCCGCTCCCGGCCACCGCAGCCGCGACCTGCTGGGCTCTGGTGATCCTTCCGCCTCAGCCTTCCAAGTAGCTGGAACTACAGGCACGTGCTACCATGCCCGGCTAATTTCTGATTTATTGTAGAGATGAGGTCTTGCCAAGTTGCCCAGGCTAGTTTCGAACCTGTGGGCTCAGGCAATTCACTCACCTCAGCCTCCCAAAGCGCGGAATTACAGGCTGAGCCACTGAGGCTTTTTATTTTTTATTTTTTTGAGTCAAGAGTCTCACTCTTGTTGCCCAGGCTGGAGTGCAGTGGCACGATTATGGCTCACCACAACTTCTACCTCCCGGCCTCAGGCAGTCTTTCTGCCTCAGCCTCCTGACTAGCTCAAACTACAGACAAGTGCCACATTGAGCTTATTTTTTGTTTTTTGTAGTGGGCTCAAGTAATCCACTCGCCTCAGCCTCCCAAAGTGTTGGGATTACAGGCATAAGCTACCGCACCCAGCATGTAAGTATAATTTTTAAAATTCTCAGATAATAAGTATTTAATAAGGTAATTTGTTTTTAATCTCATTTTTTAAAAATTGATACATCATCTTTCCATGTTGCCCAGGCCAGTCTTGAACTCCTGTACTCAAGTGATCCTCTCAAGCAGCTGTAAGCTCACTTTTAAAGTCAAGTTTTATTTATTAGTTTAATTAAAAGTCTTACTAATTTTAAGCCACGAATTACATTTTTGTAGTTAAATTAATGTGAATTAAATTTGATAGTTTCTACTATAAATATCCAGGTCAGAATGCATGATCCTTTACACAGATATAGTTCCTTTTAAAGTTGCCATAAGGTACATTTTATAAACTCATATTTTTCCCAATGATTTTTATGACTAAGACTCTAACTTATGGAAAAACTCCTAAGTTTAATTTTCTTTAAGAGACACCTATACAATTTAATACCCATTTATTCAATGGAACATTTTATTATTTTAAATTTTATAGTGCAACAACTAGTTTTTAATTATATTACTTAGTATGGTCAAATTAACTCAAAAATCATGAAGGCACATGCCAAATCAGATCAAAGAGTGTGTTCTAAAGCTTTTAATCCTTCTGCCTTCTTTATCAGGAACCAAATATGTAAAGACAATACAGTGAAGCAATTCAGCATTAGGACAGATCATTTATTCCAGGTCTTTTAGATAGCATATTTAATATGTTATTGATTTTATGATATATCTTATTATTTCCCATTTCTTTCAAAAGTTATTTCTCTCAAAATCATTTTTCTGAAATTCTATAGAGAGAAACAGTTAATGATTTTTTAGGTGCTTGTTATACTTACTCTTAGAAAAACCTGATTTACAATGCTTTTGTTTGCATACATAAAAGTTGTTAGCAGCCCAATTCCAAGAGAAATTCCTGTTAGAAAATAAGTTCCAGTTAATTTAAAGAAAAAAAAATCAAAGAGGACTATATAAGCTAATGACACGAATTAAGAAATCATATACAATTTTAAAAGCTCACAGAAAATAACTGAAATGCATAGGTTAGATTAGCAATAAAGAAATAAAATTAACTGAATTTAGCAATTAAGCAAGTCAGTGTTTTATTATGCCCTACCTGTTATATGCTGCATTACAAGTTTGACACCCAGAATCAAAATGTATGGAAGACTTTTTTGCAACCACTTGAAGAGATAGCGGAATTCTGAGAAGGAGCTACTACCATGTTCTCCAGACTCTATGGCAGTATCAACAGGCTGCCTTGCTTCACTGTGAGAGTGACTCCGTAAGCGACTATGTACACATCCATGGGCACAGCTATGGACACCTGACCTTATATTTCTGGAGTTCGGATTTTCAGCACATTCTTTAGGTACAGAGTTCATCTGAATATGAACATCTCCAGAATGAAGACAAGAACCTTCTGTCAATCTTGTGTGGACACACTGAGAGGCAGAGGTATTCTCGCTGCCTCCAGTTCCTGAAGGACTGTGCAGTTGGCTACGATTGGCTTGCATGGCCCTTAAATACTCTTTCTCTGATCCAGACTTCTTTGCTTCAAGGGCTGTCTCCTAAAAAGTAAAAAGCAGAAAATATCCTAAGTGAACAATTAAATACAAGCAGTATACTGTTCACGAGGTATCCTTTCTTCACAAAAGGAGTGGAAGATAATTACAGAGATGAACTTTCAGGTTATCACTTATTACTAGACTCCTTCCTTCTCCCATAATGCCAAGGCTCTGCTGTCCTATAGAAATGATCTTTTAGGGAACATTTGCTACCAAAAAAAGCTGAGCTTCAGATACATCTATTCTCTAATGACACAAGGCATCAGCAAAACAGTCATGAAGTATGGGTGCCCAGCAGATGTTATGAATACTAAAACTCATATTGGATACTTTGGTACATTTACTCTGTCTAGCTGGAGCGGTTTCATCAACTGATGTAGATTCTACCTCAAAGAAGTTTCATAAGGAAAAGTGAGTCAGTGTCTTCTTTAATGCTTGGAAATGCTAGGAAGAAAAAAACATTAAATCTTAATACCTTATTAAGTGTCATGATAGGTAACTAATAAGCATTTCGCTTAGGTGACCTACAAATTTCGTTTTATGCTGAAACAGCATACCCAAAGCGCACAAGGTTTCCAATAACTAATGGTACCAGCAAGAATGTTATCTAAATACCTTTAAAATAGGGATACTTGAGTTACCGTCCAGAGCTAGGCAACTCTGCAGTCTCTGTAAGGATAGTTCCACAGTCTGCCCAATAAAACGCCACCGTCGCTGGTGTGCACCGCGGGGGAGGGGTGTGTCGGAAAGAGGTCGCTGGCAGCAAAGGGTTCCTAAGCGAACCAGCGGGGACCTCCCGGGGCGAGGACGCCAGAGTCAGAACCCAGCCTGCAGTGATTTTCCTGTTTCTCTAGGAGAAGCCAGAGTTAACGTCCGGGCATGCTGTGTCACCCCCTCTCCTAGGACTGAAAACTGCTACAGCCACTACGCGGCGGTCTGGGTCTCCGTGCTTTTCACGAAAGGCTCCCATCGAGGTGACGCCACGGGCGCAGCTTATTTCCTCAAACCTCTGAAGAGCGTCGGTGGACAAGACAGTTTCACTGTCTTTTCTAGAAATTAAAAACAGAACTCTCCCACTCGCATTCACGCACAGACAAAAAAGGAGAAAAGCAAAAAGAAGAAAAGTAAACACAGACAACTTCAGGAGTCCCCGAGGCCAGAATTCCCCACCCACGTCCGAGCCCGAGTGCCTCGGTTATTCTCCCCAGGGGCCCTTCACCGCGGCCCCTCGCAGCCTCCTCCTCATGCCCGCGTCCCCTGAGCCTGACCTCTCAGGACCAGGAGCGGACGGCGGCCTCGGCGGCGACAGCAGGAACAGCGGCGCACGCCGCCTCGAGCCCTTCAGGCAGAGCCATCACCCGCAAAGCCCACCACCAGCGACTC